TGACGGGAAATGTCACGTGGTATGACAAAATCAAATTCGTTCGTTTACCGTGAAACTATAATCCCTTCGTCAATATGATCCGATCAATTACGAGATATGGAATTGTGTCAATCCCGAATTTCGATCATATCTTTCACTCCACTATTAAGTCAATATAAGTCGAAAACTCCTTTTCGACTTATGAGTACACCTTGGCTAAGGATTTCGTTATCGACTTAATTGAATGAAACGCAGATCATAATCTCCTACTATCTAAGAGTGACGAATCTTTTATTGGTCAATCACAACCTTCATACGATTCTTGACGTACCCGAACGATGTCGTATTAGCGGCTCTTTGCAGAGCAACATCCAACACTGTCAAAGTATGACTGTACTCATATAAGGTACCATGATGACCTCAAGTCTAAGGACCAATTCCACTACCAAACGTTAGAGATTAACCACTGATACTCAGATAGTTATCCATGTGGAATCTCTCGACGGGTCTCCGATATTTTGTTCTATAACAAAACATCCACGTGTTCATTTAAGTGTCACCACACTTTAACTTGTGAGATCAGCTACTTACTTCACAAATAAAAAATGCCACACATGATGGCCTATCCGTAATAACGATATCCATATCTCGTTATCACTTACGACCACGGGCGATTTAAGATTCAATCAGATGTAATTTGTATCTCACAATCACAACTCCTTGTAATTAACAAATTACGAATATTTGAATCTACGGACTCTATTATTTATTTAATTGTCTATTAATTAAATAATAGATCTACCATTTAATTGCATTAATTATATATAAAAGTATTTATGTCCAAAATTGATTGGACTTAGGGCATAATACTTACAATTACTTGGAGAGTTGACAACCTCGTAATAAAATTTGGTTGCGATTTGTATCTTTTATTTATTTTTTGTTTATTAATTTGAAGAGCAAACAAGAAATTTTATTCTCTGTTTTAATAAAAGTTTTGGACATAAATTGTCATAAAAAACAAGATGTGCTAATTAAGATTGATATAAGAATGCGATAAAAAAGTTGAGGGCATAAATGTGATAACAAGTACATTTTATAAATATTTCGTGCAAT